GGAAATATGGCTCATTCAAATTAAGATGTGATGCAAGTTAAAATGGGCATCAGACTTTGAGGGATTAATGTGAACTATATGACTAATATTTATTTTGTATTGATGCTAATTTAAAATAATGTAATATTTTGCTCAATTGCTCAAATTGTTCCCCAAAACTGTCATTACATATGTTAATATAAGAATATTAAACATGCTTCTCAATACTTTCTTCTTCTTGAAATGTGGCTACTGGAAAACTTAAAATCCCATCTCTGGCTCACAGTGCATGCCTATTCAACACTCTAGTTTAGACTCCATGAAAAGTCTGTATGTGTTGCAATAATAGAACAGGGTTTGCTTGTAGATAGCCATCGAGGTATGAAATCATGATAGTATTTTACCACTGAATGACAGTAACATGTTCTGAGGTGCAAAACATTGAGGAATAGGGGAACATATTGAGAAGGGTAGAGACTTGAATTAAGTTTTGAACATAAGTTGAAGATGTCAAATGTACCTTGAAGTGTAAATGATGAGTGGGTGGTTGGATATATAAGTTTTGAGTTCCTTGGAAGCGTCCGGGCTAGAGATTTAAGTTTAAAAATATTTAATATATAAATAGATTTTTAAACTATTGGACAGGCTGCCATCACCTAGGGAGGAACTTAAGAAGAAATACCTGGATTAGAAACAGAGGCAGGAGCAGTCAATCTTGTGGAAGATTTGGAAAGAGTGAAGAATCTTCCAAATGAGATTTGCTAGCCATCTGAATCTGACATGCCTTTGTTTCATTATATATGAAAAGGGACCAAAAATAGAACAATCACGTAAGATGGTGATGACTTATTATCTTAAATTAACCCAGACATAACTGGGATACTATGTCATGTGTCCACACTTGGCAAAGTTTTATAATTCAGTGTTAGCTATTGTGTCATCCTGTTCTTTGTAGGTATCTTGCTGAATCAGTCACCAGACATGAGGAGGTCTCCAATTCTGGGGACTTTACAAGCTTTTATAGGATGGGGAGAATTACAACTATTCATCTGTCTACTCTGGGCCAAGAAAAGAGCATTGCCTTTGCCCCTCTGCCTTTTTCAAGTTGGCATGTATCCAGATGCAGATGCCATATCTATATGAGTCTGGAGTGGGTCTTAATGAAAAAAAAAATCTGCTTGCTTTCTAACAAGAACTGGAGAGAAGAGATTCAGTTTAAAGACTTGAGCCAGGAGAAGTCTGGCCCTCACACTGCAGTGGCTGGAGAGGCAGCAGAAGTGTCTCTGGTTGCTTGAGTAGAAATTCTTGTCTAATGAGACAAAAACCCTGGAGGCCAGTCTGTAGACTTCCAACACAGCTGGATGGACAAGAGATAGCTCTTTGCAATAGACAACTGTGTGTCAATCCTGTTGGTAACTGAGAATTAAGAGAATTAGGAGAACTTCCTAAAGCTACCCATATTTTTGTCCATGAAA